TGTTAATTTAGTAATGAGTTATGCACGTTTAAGTGATTTTCGGGAGGGGACCTTGTATGGGAGCTATGACCAATTATGGACCGATCACAAAATACTCAATACTCATACCAAATTTTATATGAATATCTAAATTTAGTAATGAGTTTTGCGCGTGTAAGTGATTTTCGGGAGGGGACCTTGTATGGGAGCTATGACCAATTATGGACCGATCGGAAAAAACTTTCACAGTAATATTTCTATGCATATGGGCAATACTTTACCAAATTTGATATGGGTATCTTAATTTAGTAATGAGTTATACGCGTTTAAGTGATTTTCGGGAGGGGACCTTGTATGGGAGCTATGTCCAATTATGGACCGATCCAGAAAATTTTTCTCTGTATGAATTCTATTGATATAAGATTTTAATTTGTAAAATTTTGTAAAGATATCGACATTGAGACGGAAGTTATTAACAAAAAACCCATTTTCCGGGAATATGTACTTTTGTATGGGAGCTATATGAAATTGTGGACCGATTCTGGAAATTTTCAGTAGGAACGAATGTGTGGTGATTTTCGTGGAATTATCTTGCATAGTTTTCGAGAAAATTACATCAGAATGTGTGAAAAATGCTTATTTTTTTCGAGGTTGTTTTAAATTTTGATTCATAACTTTTCCCGGTGTGAACCTATTTTGCCCATTTTCAATACCAAACAACTTAGGAAAATGAAGAACATTTTGGGTAAATTTGGTTAAACTCTATTGCTTCGTTTTATCGTGAGCGTGTTTTACACAGACAGACGGACATAGCTAAATCGACTCAGAATTTGATAAGGATCAAGAATATATATACTTTGTTGGGTCTCAGATGAATATTTCTTGGTGTTACACACGGAATGACAAAGTTATATATACCCTCTGTCACCACTGATGGTAGTGGAGGGGTAAAACAAAATAACAATGCTTTACTATGACCTCAGTAAGACTATGGAAAAAATTCAAAATTTTTATCAAGCAAAAGTATTGACCCATAAATTCATAATTGAATTATAACACTTTTTCGTGCAATTTTTTTTTGGCACAGCCAAGTGTCTGCTTTTTCCACATATTTATACATAAATATGCATGTATATATTGTGTTCAATTGGTGAAACCAATTTTCAAGTCAATAGAATTAACAAAAAATACAATCTAAACAACAAACAATTTCACAATAAACCAGAAAAACTGTAACCGATGAGTATAAAATCATAAAATATCCCTCAACAATCATGTTGTAAACATTTCCCAAAGGGTTTTTAATAATGTGATTTTTCTTTCCAAGTTTTTATTTTTCTACTACATATTGTGGCACACACAAACACATACATACATATTGGTGTTTAAATTTTGTTTTCTATCATCATGATTTTATTATTATTATAAATGCAATTGTGTGTGCAGCACTGCAACAATCATGAAAACAATTCCCCAATTTAGTGTTTTGTGTGTTTTTTTTATTCGTGTTCTTTAGTTTTTGTTGAAATTCCCTTCTACAAAAACGATTTTATTGGCAACAAAATATAATGCAACAGCAACAATAATAGTGTAATAGTAACAGGAAAATACTAAAAACCTGTGTAGAATGCAAACAAAAAATTATTGCAAATCGAAAAAAAAAAAAATGTTTGAAGTGAAAAAGATGTAGACAACTGCTACAGAATTTAAAAATGTTCGCGTGTAAAGTGAAATGATCCCCAGGGGCAATATAACACTTTGCCTTGTTATTGCCTTTTTCTCTGATGATGCCATGTAACACAAACAGTATCAACAACAACAACAACGACGACAACAATAAAATTGTGCAGCAAGGCAAACTAGCAGCCAGGCATTCAGTCATTTAACAATTCAATGGAAACAACTTAATAGCATCGGAATTGCTTTTAAATTTTTGATACAATTGCCAAAACTTGCATAGTTTTCTTTCAAATATTTTGGTTTCTTTGTGTGTTTTGTTTGTCTTAGATGGTAAAGTTTTCAAATTATTTTTAATTTAATTACGAAAATTTTGAGATATTGCAATAACAATTCAGGTAAGGAAGATTTGTTCTTGAATAATTCCTAGAAATTTTCTAAGGTAAAACAAGTAGACATGTCAATTTCGTTTCTAATGTAGGGAGGACGAACTTTTTGTTCCTATATCAGTTGAGCATATATTTCCAAACTTCAACATCAATTAACTTTACCAGTAGAGTGGATAGATTACGTGGTTCTATTATAGTGAGAGCACTCGTAGGCTATTTGGTCCACTCTGATATTCTTAAAATGGTTTCTTCTTAATTCAAATAGTCTGCATGCGTTCCTAGGGAGAATCAATCGGTACTTTTGATAATCTTTATTAGATTCACTGACACATCCTTGTGACAGAGGAGATCATTTTGTACCACCTAAGCTCCGATTTTTCTGTTGCCCATACAAATAGAGAAATTTGGATATATATACCCTTTCATTCGTTACAAGAGAGAATCAATCGATACGATTGTCGAACTGCTTTACGTGAACACCTGACAAGACGGCCTTATTTCACGATGGTCTGGATGAGCTTTTGCAACGACTCACCACCACCCATTGTGCTTCTTACACGTCGGTGGCAATTTACATATATTTCCGGTACAGTATATGTGCACTTTGCTCGAGCTGTCGAATCTCTTGCCATAGTAGTTCCGTTGGGGAATGACAGGTGTCATGAGCAAGCACAATCTAACCCCAACAAAAGAAAAGGCAATCACTGGTTAGAGTCGATAGAAGAGGCGGACCCAACATCAGGTGAAACCATCCTATTGATGTTATGAGAAATGCTCTGTCCCTACAAACATTCTCATCATCTAAAGACTCACCCCAGTGCATTCCCACTTAAGGTCGCTCAACCACTCTACTGATATAGCTTCTGTTGATTCGGCAACAGCACCTAGGGGACGTTTTTAACCAGACTTATTTCAGTGGCCACAACGACCTACTGTGATAAGTTGAGCATGTTTAGAGTAAACTCCAACACACTCAACCATGAAGGAAATTAAAGATTAAGGTATTATCAACACCTCAACCATCTCACTCCTTTTCGCCAACCTTAGTTCTGTAAACCATCTGCAAACATCACTCTATTCGTCACTTCATCCAACTAACCTCGGATGAAACTCAGAATCCCTCCAATCCATCAGATACAAGTTTAAGGTTCATCGAACACCAACACATACCCAATCTTTGTATTATCAGTTCAAATCCACAGACTTGCCTTGTGACTTGTACCGCTCCTAGAAACTAAGAGCGGTAACAAAAACTTATCCCGAAAATTTATAATTTACCGTGTATCAATCTTTTAACCAAGCACCCCCTTCCCGCGAATTTGGGTCTAAACCATAGCCACTACATGGATACCGAAGGAACCTCAACCAACTGACCAGCCTGGACACTGTCCTGCGGGCAACTGGCCACTCGTAGTACCAGATTATGTAGTGCTCTGGGCAGACCCCATGTCAAATCATTCCAAGGACTAGCCAAGGAGTGAGGTGACATCACCAGTTTATAGTCCGGACAGACTAGAGGTATTGGTAGCACCTCTTTACCCCGAGATTGCAATACACCAAGATGTGGATCTTTCATTAAGGAAACATGCCTCGTGGGGGAATCAGTCGGTACATATCAGATCAATTTTATTAGATTCACTGACACAACCTTGTAACAGAGGAGTTCATTTTGTACCACCTAAGCTCCGATTTTTCTGTCGCCCATTCATCAAACATGTGTGATAGAGAAATATGTTTGTATAGCCTGAAACCAATCTCGTCAGAGAATCGTTTCAATTGAGACATGTATTTATGTGCAATTGAGAAGAGATTTCCTACATCTTGGAAGATACAGGACTGTTCATGGTGGACCTCTCAAGATTTAATTTCGAATCATTTTTGTAGTCATAAAGTCGATGAAGTAAATATAAGGATGGAGAAGAAAATAATGCAAGATTACAGTCTTCAAAGGCAATTTCTAAACTAACAGTGTAGATTGAGATTACGTCCTCCAGATGGACTAATCTGCACAGTCTTCTCTTACCTGTATTCTTATAATGTTTCAGTGCGCCTGACATTCTGAGGCTAAGAGAGAATTTAGTTGAAATAAATATAAATTGAGATCACGTCATCTAGATTGACAACTCCGCGCAGTCTTCTCTTATCTGTATTCTTTGTCGGAAGGTCTTAAAAGAATGTCCACTGACACTATGTTTCAGATCGTCTGACCCTCTGAATTTAAGAGCCGAATTAGTAGAAATAATTTTAGATTAAGATCATATCTTTCTGATGGACAATGCCGCCCAGTCTTCTCTCATTTGTATTCTCGGTCTAAAGGTCTAAAAACCGTGTCCAGATGTTTCAGCGCGTCTAAGATGCTAAGGGATACTAAGATCCAATTAAGTAGCTTTTACAAAGGTGTACCTATTTCCGAACCATTACTTAGGGAGAGACTCTTACGGCCCTTACTCTTGCAGCACATTGTTGTAAAAGTAGTATAGTTTCTCTTCAATGTATTAAGTTGCGCATAGCCCCATCGACCACAAATGGATATGTTCTTAAATAAGTACGTGAGTATATGCGATATTCGAGAACAAATTTTCTATTTTCAGAGGATGCTCCCCGGGGCATGTTTCCATGACGAAATGTCCCATCATGGTGTATTGCAATCCCGGGGTAAAGAGGTGCTACAAGTACCTCTAGTCTGCCGGGACTATAAACTGGTGATGTCACTTTACTCCTCGGCTAGTCCTTGGCATGTTTTGACATGCGGTCTAACGGAGTTTCCACTGAAATAGCTATGGAGCAGAGACCTACGCTGATATCACACAGCCTTGACATGAAAATTAAGTGGGTGGACCAGATACATATATTTCTCGTCCAAAAAATGTTTTTCATTATCACTCAATTTCTATAAATAAAACAAAAATTTGCTTAAAATTTCATACTCTTTATTTATTTTATGAAGTCAATGCAGGATATAAACGAAAAACTTCATTCGAATATTAACCCGACTTAACAATAAAACTGACAAGTATTAACTTAAATAGCTCTAGCAAAACCAACACGTTTGTGTTTCAAATCGAATGTGGTATAGTATTTACCAATGAAAACATCACCCAAAATCCAAATATTCATACCAGCATCTTCAAAAGCGGTGGCGCATTGGTCATCGGCTTGGAGAACATAATCGCTAGGTTCCAAAGTATAGATACCATCACCAATGTGGAAGTTAACATCAGGCAAGGAATCAAGTGTGGAACAGTCCAACATGAATTCATAGGTAGTCTCGTTGAAAGTAGCACCAATGGCAGTTTGTAGACTAATATAAACATCGGAAGGAACACCAATTAGAGAAGTGCCGGGTATCAGCAATAGCCTGGCAGTAGCGGCAAACACTAGTGTCCTGGACATGAGCAGATCTCATTTCAAATTGCCAATAGCCTTCGGTGGAAACTGGAACATAACGGAGTTCACCGGTGTAATGATCGGGATCATTGCCACCCAAAACCATGACACCACCTTCATTGGAAGTACCATTGCGAGCCAAGTAAAAGGAGAATACCTCAGTGTCGACTAAGTCTTGTAAAACCATATTGTAGAAGGGTGGCACAACACCATCAACAGCAATAGTTTGGAAAGCCATACCGATGAGACCATCAAAGGCGAGTACACAAATGTTTCACCAGGTTCATTAGTGGCAGCAGCAAATACTTGATCTTGAATAGTCAAACCTTCAACAGTTACAACATCTTGTACCAAATAGCCAGACAAACTGCCACTGCCATATTGAATAGCGAAACTTTCACCAATATATTGATAAGTTAACGAGTTGTTGCCATTATAGCTGTTGTGATTTTGACAGGCCAAGTTCTGAGCAGAGCAGGGTGCTGCAGGAATCCACATATTGGAGGAACCGGTATCAAAAAGTACCAAAAACTCCTGAGGTGGAGTACCAACGGTAATTTTACCATAATACGAATCATCTACATAGTTGAATAGTTTCTCTTTGTACACTCTGCAGGTATCTCTTACATTATATTTTCCCCTTAATTTCACCAATTCATTGGCCTTTTGTTTCGATTCACGGATTTTATACAAAGGCACACTAACCAAAGCGGCTTCCGTTAACAGGAATAAACCGAGTAACGCAAATAATAATTTCAACATGTTGGCGAATAACTTAATAAACTTGTAAGAAACTGTTCAAAACATTTTCATTATATACCAAAATTTTTATCAATACAAAATAGATAACCATTTTAGAAAATAGATAAAGTACGCACAGAAGTAAGAAGTACAAACACACACGCCATAATAATAATTGATCGATTTAGGTCGCATTAATTATAAATTTAATAATGTTAAATTAGTTTAATTAGTAAACAAATGTATGAAGGTTAATAATTGGTTTGTTTACAACTTGTTAATCGAAATTGTGGTAACAATTAGAAGTGTGATATTATTTTTTTATTGTGGTAGCCAAAAATGTTAAGAAAATTACTTGGTTACATTCTAAATAATCAAGTTAAAATTATTAATATAGCCAGGGCAGAAATTTGAAATGAGCCCATCTTCTCAATAGATGCTAAATCGAACAAAAGTTTTGTGAGGGTTTTGAATCTTTCATAGTATCTAATGTGAGTAAACCGTTCTTCATCTACTGGAATTGTACTTAATTAAATATTTTGTATTAGGGGCATTATTTTAATCTATAAACAAATAGGTTTTTGATAGAGAGTTTAGCTGACAAATGCAAAACAAATCGATTGCAACAACGAAACAGGAGAAAAGGATGACAAGAAGAAATAAATACATATGTATCCAATTACGAGAAAAACTATAAAATGAAACAGTTAGAAAAGTATGGACCGCCCATATTGTACACTACCCCAGTTATAAGTATTAAATGTGTTATTCGTTTTTTATACCCTACACCACCATAGTGGGGAGGCTATTATTACACGTTTGTGCTGATGTTTGTAACGCACAAAAATATTGGTCCTACACCCACCTTAAAGTAAACCGATCGACTCATAATCACTTTCTGAGTCGATTAAGCCATGTCCGTCTGTCCGGCTGGCTGGCTGCCCATGTAAACTTTGTGCGCAAGGTACAGGTTGCAATTTTCAAGATATTTTGATAAAATTTGGTTAATTTTTCGGCCCAACGACGAAGCCTACATAAAATGGTTGAAATCGGTCCATTATTTCACCTAGTCCCCATACAATCCTTCCCACCGAAAAGGGTTTTTGAGTTCATAATTATGTTAAATATTGTAGTATCTCTACAAAAATCGGCAAAACTTAGTTCTATATACGTCTTAATAATACTACCGATTTTCGTAATTATCGGACTTTATTTGACCCTAGCCCCCATACAAAGTCCCCTTCAGAAAATGACTTGAAAGTCAATAATTCACTAATAAACACTAGTATCACGATGAAAACCAGCATACATAACTCTAATGTAAACGTAAAGCCATATACCAAAATTTATAAGGATAGGCCCATATTTACCTTGCCCCATATAACAACATTTTTAGAAAATCACTTTTTTCAACAAATTGTTAAAATATTTCGGAATTAAGGTAAACACCTTAAATGCTTTATTATTAAAAATAATCGAAATTTTTAACATACCCAGTAGTGTAGGGTATCATATAGTCGGCCATGCCCGACTATACTTTCCTACTTGTCTATAGTAAAATAAGTATTTGTATAGAATTTTACTTGAATAGTGTCATATTTTAGCAATTATTGATGAAAAACTAATTTTCTTAAAGTGGCTCCATATAATACTAGCGTCATAAGTATAAGGGCCGATACTCATAAAATTAGCAGTAGGGATTTATGTCAACATAAAAGTTATTTATGGTGAATTCCATATTAATTCGTTATGGACGTTCATGCCAGATTTTCGAGGCCTCGTACTTGTACCAACAAAAATCGTACGTGCTAAATTCCTTCCAATTATTTTGAAAATTGCACCTGTACCTTGCGCACAAGCTTTACATAACAGCCAGCCAGACGGACGGACAAGGCTTAATCGACTCAGAAAATTATTCTCAATCGATGCAAACATCATAGTTAGTTAGTTAGTAGTTAGTTAGTTAGTTAGGTAGTTAGTTAGTTAGTTAGTTAGTAGTTAGTTTAGTTAGTTAGTTAGTAGTTAGTTAGTTAGTTAGTAGTTAGTTAGTTAGTTAGTAGTAGTTAGTTAGTTAGTTAGTTCGTTAGTTAGTTAGTTAGTTAGTTTAGTTAGTTAGTTAGTTAGTTGTAGTTAGTTAGTAGTAGTCGTTAGTTAGTTAGTTAGTTAGTTAGTTGAGTATGTTAATTAGTTAGTTAGTAGTTAGTTAGTAGTTAGTAGTTAGTGTTAGTTAGTTAGTTAGTTAGTTAGTTAGTTAGTTAGTTAGTAGTTAGTTAGTTAGTAGTTAGTTAGTTAGTTAGTAGTTAGTTAGTTAGTTAGTTAGTTAGTTAGGTGTTAGTTAGTTAGTTAGTTAGTTAGTTAGTTAGTTAGTTAGTTAGTTAGTTAGTTAGTTAGTAGTTAGTTAGTTAGTTAGTTAGTTAGTTAGTTAGTTAGTTAGTTAGTAGTTAGTTAGTTAGTTAGTTAGTTAGTTAGTTAGTTAGTTAGTTAGTTAGTTAGTTAGTTAGTGTTAGTTAGTAGTTAGTTAGTTAGTTAGTTAGTTAGTTAGTTAGTTAGTTAGTTAGTTAGTTAGTTAGTTAGTTAGTTAGTTAGTTAGTTAGTTAGTTAGTTAGTTAGTTAGTTAGTTAGTTAGTTAGTTAGTTAGTTAGTTAGTTAGTTAGTTAGTAGTAGTTAGTTAGTTAGTTAGTTAGTTAGTTAGTAGTTAGTAGTAGTTAGTTAGTTAGTTAGTTAGTTAGTTAGTTAGTTAGTTAGTTAGTTAGTTAGTTAGTTAGTTAGTAGTTAGTTAGTTAGTTAGTTAGTTAGTTAGTTAGTTAGTTAGTTAGTTAGTTAGTTAGTTAGTTAGTTAGTTAGTTAGTTAGTTAGTTAGTTAGTTAGTTAGTTAGTTAGTAGTTAGTTAGTTAGTTAGTTAGTTAGTAGTTAGTTAGTTAGTTAGTTAGTTAGTTAGTTAGTTAGTTAGTTAGTTAGTTAGTTAGTTAGTTAGTTAGTTAGTTAGTTAGTAGTTAGTTAGTAGTTAGTTAGTTAGTTAGTTAGTTAGTTAGTTAGTAGTTAGTTAGTTAGTTAGTTAGTTAGTTAGTTAGTTAGTTAGTTAGTTAGTTAGTTAGTTAGTTAGTTAGTTAGTTAGTTAGTTAGTTAGTTAGTTAGTTAGTTAGTTAGTTAGTTAGTTAGTTAGTTAGTTAGTTAGTTAGTAGTTAGTTAGTTAGTTAGTAGTTAGTTAGTTAGTTAGTTAGTTAGTTAGTTAGTTAGTTAGTTAGTTAGTTAGTTAGTTAGTTAGTTAGTTAGTTAGTTAGTTAGTTAGTTAGTTAGTTAGTTAGTTAGTAGTTAGTTAGTTAGTTAGTTAGTAGTTAGTTAGTTAGTTAGTTAGTTAGTTAGTTAGTTAGTTAGTTAGTTAGTTAGTTAGTTAGTTAGTTAGTTAGTTAGTTAGTTAGTTAGTTAGTTAGTTAGTTAGTTAGTTAGTTAGTTAGTTAGTTAGTTAGTTAGTTAGTTAGTTAGTTAGTTAGTTAGTTAGTTAGTTAGTTAGTTAGTTAGTTAGTTAGTTAGTTAGTTAGTTAGTTAGTTAGTTAGTTAGTTAGTAGTTAGTTAGTTAGTTAGTTAGTTAGTTAGTTAGTTAGTTAGTTAGTTAGTTAGTTAGTTAGTTAGTTAGTTAGTTAGTTAGTTAGTTAGTTAGTTAGTTAGTTAGTTAGTTAGTTAGTTAGTAGTTAGTTAGTTAGTTAGTTAGTTAGTTAGTTAGTTAGTTAGTTAGTTAGTTAGTTAGTTAGTTAGTTAGTTAGTTAGTTAGTTAGTTAGTTAGTTAGTTAGTTAGTTAGTTAGTTAGTTAGTTAGTTAGTTAGTTAGTTAGTTAGTAGTTAGTAGTTATTCATGTTTAACACCTTATCTAACATACATAACAATTTCAGTTCTATATCAAACCATCCTTCAAACACAACTTTAGATTTATTTCCAAGTAAATCTTATCTTATAGCCATTTAAGACCTCACATTCATTTGTAAAGTCATCTAAATTGCATAAGTTTAGTGGTAATAAATTTTTGCTTTTTTTCCTACAATGACAAATTTCTCACTAACAATTCTTGACAAATTATTTACATTTAGTGTGTGTTCAAAAAAATCGCACTTTACCCAGGTATGATTATAGTCACAGCAATTCATGTTTTAGCAAGATGTAGGCTTGCAATTTGCAACAATATAAAGGCACGCATGGCTACGCTTGCAACTCTTCCACAAGTACAGTTCAAATGTGAATGCATATAAAATAAATTATACATGAGATAAAAAAATGCTTAATATATTAGTGCGATATAATAAAAAACTAAACACTTTTTATAAAATAAAATCTGTGAATACACAGATTTCTTTGTATATTATTAAAGTGCCTGTAATAGTTTAATCGAATACATGTTATTATTTATAAGACAACATATGGAAATTGTAGCAAAATCCACCAAAAAAAGTTAGGTAATCAATTTTATTTTTAAGTGTAGGCAATTTTTTGCGGTTATTAGATTCTTAGAAAAAAAATTAAATTTGTATAACAATTAGTGATAGATTGTCCACAGTTGATATAAATTATGTTATCGTTTTATGTATATTTGTAGCTTACAAACCCGTGTATGTGTTTTATTATTATTTTTTATAAAATGTTTAAATTAATATAAATATTACTAAAAATTTATTTTAAACGGGCCAACAAAACAGATAAGATAGGGTTTATTATCATTACAATGCCACCAAAATTCTTAAACCTGAAACATAGCTATTTAATTTAAAAAATGGACTCAAAATGGAGAATAGTTCTATAGTTCCTTCCACTCAATGATTGCTTAACGAATCGATTTCAACTTCCGAGAGATAGTTTTTGCTATTCAGAAGTGGTGATTTGGATATGGAAGGCAAAGATCGCTCAGGTCATCAAGCAACATCAAGCAACTGTTTCAAAGCAGAGAGACCTTAAAAGTTTTTAAATCGAAATTAAATCCAAATATCTATCGCTATAAAGAAATATGCTGTATTTGGTGGGTCCAAAAGCGTCCTAAGTATCTATCATAATACATT